GGGTGCAACTGTGGCTTTACAGTGTGAATCAGGCAAAGGCCTATGGGTGGGGCTCGGCCGCTGCCCCAAGCTCCGGCCAGGGTCGGGGGCTCAAGGGGCCTCATGTGTCAGCAAAAGGGAGTCTCTGGAGATAGCCAGCCTGCCGGCAGGCAGCCAAGCACTCGCGCTGGCTTGTTTTCAGTGGGTGCTGGCCTTGATCTCGGCATCTCCTTGGTGCCTGCGTCAAGGGGTAGTGAGAACCACGCAGGAAACAGCTGGCACCTCGGAGCTGGTTCTGGTTGACAAGGTGCCACCTGGCTGAGACGCCATAAACAGCCCAGTGTCCTCCCTGTGGGGGGCATGGCCCCAGGCAGCAGGTGCTGGGGTCGGCCTCAGATCTTCCCTGCTGGGCCTGAACTGGAATGCAAACTCTGCCCTCAGCCTGGCTGCGGCGCTCAGACCCTGGCTGGGACCGAGGGCAGGCGGTGGAGGACGCCGGGCCAGGGTGCCTGTGTGAAGACAGGCTCTGAGGCTGGGCCCCTGAATGGCTGGGCATCTGGCTAGGGCTGGGCAGCCAGGCAGGAGGGCACAGGACCTGTGGAGCCTTGAGCCTCAAGACTGCTGTTCCACGGTGGTCTCCTTGCGGGCAGTGCCAGGTCCGAGTCCCCATGTGCCCGTTAGCCCAGGCCCTGGTGGAGAAGCAGCCGCTCCTGTCGTTTCCCCAGAGGCGCCGGGGTGTCTGCCAAAGTCTGGGCCTGCCCTCCCTGACCCTCCCACCTCCAGACAGGGTCCTATGTAGGCGCAGCGCACAGCAGTCGGGCCCGCCTGAGATCTGTCACTGACTCCCCCACCTAGCCACCCCACTAGGAGGTCATTGGCCTGAGGTGTGTCCCACCCTGGGCCTCTTGCCTGCCCCACTGCACCCCAGCAAGCTGCCTCAGGACAGTGTACAGGTGGTGGACTGCGGGAGGCAGCAGGAAGCACAGCCAGTGGCGGGTGGTCGCTGGCCAGGCACAGAGTCGGCCTTCGGTAAATTGCGGACGTGGGTTGGGTATCCTCCCAGCTTGTGGCCTGCACCCTCTCAACAATTGCTCAGGCCGCTTACCAGCAGGACACCCTTCACCCGTGAATGGACGCCCTGTTCCTTCCTCCAGCTGCGTCAGCACTGTCCTGAACTGGTGTCACCGCCCCCTGCATGCCCGTGCCCCGGGTCAGTCCGCCCCCGGCACCCCGCATGCCCGTGCCCAGGGCCAGTCTGTCCCCGGCACCCACCATGCCTGCGCCCAGGGTCAGTCCGCCCCCGGCCCCCCTGATACCCATGCCCAGGGTCAGTCCACCCCTAGCAGCCCGCATGCTCGTGCCCAGGGTCAGTCCGCACCCAGCACCCCCCATGCCCGTGCCCAGGGTCAGTCCACCCCCAGCACCCCTGATACCCATGCCCAGCGTCAGTCTGCCCCCAGTACTCCGCATGCCTGTGCCCAGGGTCAGTCCGCCCCCAGCACCCCTGATACGCATGCCCAGGGTCAGTCCGCCCCCAGCACTAACCCTCTAGGCTGCCCACAGCATGTGGTCAACCCTTCCAAAACAATTGTGGACAGTGACATGTGCCCCTCCCTGTGTGGGAGCGGACTAGGGTGGAGGGAGGATGGGCACCCCCAGCTGGGTCTGCCTGGGGTGGCACTGCTGACCCCTCGAATTCCTGAGGGGTCGCTGCCCCATCTCCCAGTGGCCAGCAGAGCCAGGGGAGGCGGCATTGGCCTCCACATGTGCCTGAGAGACGGGGGCATGGAGACAGGCTTCGCCCGGCCTCCATGCTGGGTCCAGCCGCCATGTTCCTTCGACCATTACAAAGACCCGGCTGTGAAGGGCCCCAGCTGACTCACATAGAAGGGCCTTGTTTCCTTCTGCTCCCAAGGCGCGAGGGGGAGGAATACTAATGCCAGTGACGCCGCCGGCGTGAGGGCCTTTGTTCATTTCCTCAGAGGACACTGCCTGGGCGCCTGCCTGGGGGCCCACCCTCCCTCCAGAAGCCCAGGACAGCAAAGGCACCCGCAAGTGAAGGAGGACTCAGCCACGGTGGCATTGGGTGTGTATGCTCAGAAACTCACCCTGTGGGATGGAGCATCGGGTCGGGATGGAGCATCGGGTCGGGATGGAGCATCAGGTCGAGATGGGGACAGCTGGGTGGGGTCTTGAAGGATGCGTAGGAGTTTGCAGGTAGACCAGTTCTGAAGAGCATTCCAGGCACAACGTGGACAAGGGCAGGAGTGTGGAAGAGCAGAGGACATTTGAGGAGCAGCAGGCCGGGCTCTGGGTGACTGGCAGCTGGTGGGGCCCAGCCAGGGTGAACTGCTCCGCTGAGAGCTGGGCTGTCACAGGGCAGCCGGGAGCTACAAGAGTTCCCGCAGGGAGAGGCAGGAGCAGAAGAGGGCGGGACCTGACCCCTCCAGGCCCCCGTAAATGCCCTCAGACCCCTCGCCCTTCTCTCTCCTTCCCAGCACTGCTCACGACTGTGAGCGTGGTATTGGACTGGGAGGCCCTCGAGGGCAAGGGCAGAGCGAGGACAAAGTCGATGCCAGCGTGGGCGCGAGCCCCCAGGACAGTGACAGATGCGTTTTCTGTCACACCTCACTCAATTCTCAGAGTGCCCTGGGAGCCAGGGCACGTCCCACCTCACAGGTGAGGAAACTGAGGCCCCAGAGGTTCAGAGACCTGCCCAGGCCACACAGAAGTGAGCCTGGGGCAGCGAGAGGGGCCGTGTCCCCACAAGAGCTCCCACCACGCCTCAGCTGAGCCTGTGGGGTACAGGGAAAGGGGGGCCTCCCCAAGTCACTGCGGGCAGAGGGGGCTCTCAGGGGCACACACGGCGGGCTCTCCGCCTGGGCGACTCTGTCTCTCCCCAGCCTTGCGTTCTCTGCCCCTTTCTACCCAGGTCTGCATCCTCCCTCTCCCCGTCTCTGGCTCTTCCTCCCCACCCCACCCCCCGTGTCTCTGTCCCAGTCCCCCATCTCTAGCCCCCCACTCTTTCTGTGTTCATCCTCCTTCTCTCTGCCTGTCTCTCCCTCCCTCTCTGTCTTCCCTGCCCTGTGTGTCCCTCTCTGTCCCTTTATCTCCCCACTGCCCCCTCCCCTCTCTCCACTGCCTTGGTGACCCACGTCCCGCCCAGTCTGAGCAGGGCTGCTGCGACCAGGGAGGGCTGCAGGCCCTTTCTGCATCACCCCCTCTGCTTCTGTGTCCCCCACCAAGGGGCACATCTGTGTCAGGTTTCTTGGTGGCATCCTTGGGGCCCTGTGGTCACAGGTCACGGCCAGCCATGGAACGGGGTCCTCTCCTGCCCTGTCAGCTTTCTGGGGGCTTTGGTGGAGCAGAGCCAGTCCCCTCACTGCAGTGCTGCTCCCCCAGACCCACGGCAGCCTCTCGTAATTAAGACACAAAGTCCGCAGTTTCCGGCTGCGTGTTGGCTGACGGCAGCCGCTGCTAATACAAGCCTTTCTTTAATGGCGTCTTGAGTTTAAATGATACATAATTAAACATAATTGGCCAGGTCCGCCACTCGGGGAGGTGAGGTGAGGTGTGGGGGGAGCGCCTTGCGGGCATCTCAGTACGAAGCACCTTCTGTTATTGGGGGGAGGTTCCTGTTCCTCAGCTCAGGATTCCATTCCATCTGACGGTGACCTGGACGGTGACCTGGCCAGGGCACAGGAGGGGAGGTGTCCAGGAGGGCTGCCCGTGGGCCAACTGCCCGGGCCTCTGTGATAAAGTGGGTGGAGGGTGTGGGGAGAATTTCTGCTCAGCTGAGGCGGGGACACAAGCACACTCTGTGGAGAGAGAAGTTGGGGGTCTCACGGGAACGGGTGGGAGCCGCACAGGGCTGGACAGGTGTCCGGGGGGGCTGGCCCCCTCCCCCATGGCCCTCCCAAGTGGGGCCTGGGTACTCCGCACACGTTGGCCTGGGGGCTTCCGAGGGGCTGCTTGGAGGGGTGGTTTCCACGATTGCTGGAGGGCTGGGGTCAGCCCTGGGGCCACACAAGGGCCCCTCACATGGTAAGGTTTGCTCCCCACCCCAGCCCCCCAGCTGCCGAGCTCTAGTGAGGCCTGGCTGGGTGGGAGCAGTGGGGAGGGGCCTCTAGGCACCAGGACCCTCTTTCCACTCACAGCCCCCACCCCAGGCTACCCCTCACCCCCAGGGATAGGCCCACGCTCCTTGCACAAGACCGTCTGGGCTCGGGGACGTCCCTGGCCTCCTGCCCCCCTCGAGCCCACCCCTCCCTGTGACATTTACAGCACCCCCCTTCCTGGGTGTCCCTCCCCTCCCCACTCACAGGTGTGTACCTGGAGGCCCCTCCTCCATGCACCCCTATGTGGGGCCCCGTGCCCTGTGGAGCTGCAGGCTCCAACCAGACCTCAGGAAGCATTTGGTGAATGAACAGAGGCTTTGGGTGTTCCAGCCGCCCTCAAATCCTAGCTGTCAGCAACTGTGCGAGGCCTCCTCTGTTGGGTGGGGGTGGCTGCGGAGGGCACCCACCAGGTGGGCCCCGAGGGTTTGAGCGGGAAAGCTTCCTATCTCCTCCTGAGGTGGGCTCTGCAGGGATCCCCCAGCCCTATCCTGGGCTCCCCCGGACAGGGGCCAGGCCAGGCGCAGGGCTGTGGGGAGCGCCCTGTGGGCGCAAAGTACAGGCCCAGCTCCTGGCCCTCCTGGGGGTGCTGCTCCTGCTGGAGGCGGCTAGGACAGAGGGGCCAGCTCGTCACTCTGCATTTGAGCAGGACTTGGCAAGAGGGGCGTGGGGAGGTCTCCAGGTGGAGGGAACAGTGCCTGGCAGTCAGGGAGGCATGTGTGCCCTGAGGGGGATACCTGGAACCTGGGGGGTGGGAGGGCAGCCGGTGGCCACCCTGGGAAGGGCCTGGAGTGTCCTGAGGATCAGGCCCAGCCTGTGCTAGGTGCCGGCAGGGCCACCTGCTGTGGAGTCAGTGAGTCAGCCTGGGGTCACCTCTAACCAGCTCCTGCCCTCCCTGCTCCCCAGGCCCAGCGACGAGCAGCACCCGGAGGTGCAGGCCAACGGGTACGTGGACAACCTCGCGGAGGCTGTGGACCTGCTGCTGCAGCACATGGACGCCTGAGGGCCTCCGGAGGGCTACCCGCCTTGTGCCACCTGCCCCTCCACCCACCAGTCTGCCCTCTGTCCCGGGTGGGCAGGCATGAGGCCCCCGGGCACACTTTTCTCCTGCCCTGAGCTGTGACCATGGCTGCCCCCAGACAGGGCTGGGGGGCACCCTCTGGACATGGGCTGGAGCTGCCTCTGCCAGGGACTCTGGGCATGCCCTATATCCCCGAGCCCACTCACTCACAATGCCCGTTTGCACCTGGTCCTTGGAATGCTGTAAACTCCACCTGATTGGATCCAGGGGCCTTTGCCCACTGCCCCTTTATCAGACGCTGCTTGCATTCAAGTGAGGGGCCTGGAGAGAGCCCAGGGCCTCCTCAGCTCAGGCCAGGTAGCCCAGAGCCCAGACAGCCTCCCTGGGGACTGCTGAGCCACCCTGCCCACCGCCCAGAGACCCTGACCACTGCTCAGCGACCCTGCCCACCGCTCAGTGCCCTTACCCTGCCCACCTCCCAGAGACCCTGCCCACCGCCCAGGGACTCTGCCCACCGCTCAGTGCCCCTGCTAACCGCCCAGGGACCCTGCCCACCACCCATGGACCCTGCCCACCGCCCATGGACCCTGCCCATTGCTCAGGGCTCCTGCCCTGCCCCACTCCCCCCAGCGCCGACCGGCTCTCTAGCTCTCTACCCTCCTGACCAGACATCTCCAGCCCACTGCCTCCCTAATCTCTGGGACATCCCAGAGGGCACTTTAGAAGTGGACGGGCGTGAATGCTTCGTGACCAGGGAATGCAGCAGGAGAAAAGTTGTGGTTAAATAAACCTGCCTTTGAACAGCGGCTGACTTGGGCTTTGACTTCCGGGAAGGGCCCATGTTGGTGGGACTGGGGCTCGGGCACCCCTCCCTGGCCCTCCATGTGCTTGAACCCTGAGATGCCCCTTGCTCCAGCCCTTGTCTAACAGAAGGGGAAACTGAGGCCAGAGAAGCAGGGAACTGCCCTAGGCCCCACATGGGGCAGCTGTAGCCTGGGGTGGTGGGCAGCAGTCTCCAGACCAGGGCGTGCAGTAGCTTTCTCCCAGAGGCCTCTGGGACCAAGTCACTCCCAATCCACGTCTCGGGTTTCAAAATCCATTAGCTGACTGGTTGATTTGACTGCTCGTTTTCTCCTCAAACCAATTCAGAAGCCACCAGTTAAGTCCTGGGACACGACTTCTCTTAACAGAAATCGTGGGCCCTGGTCCGAGGATTCCACTGCACGGAGGCGGACGCCGATCAAGCCCTGGGTGCTGAAACCTGCGGCCCCTACACGGTGCCCAGGCTGGTGGGGCTGGCCTTGCAGGTGTCACCAGCACACAAGGGAGGAGGCACTCGGCCATTGGTGGGAAGAGGTGCACATGGCTCGCTCCTTGACGGAGTCCCCGAATGGCAGCCTGTCAGAAGAGTGACAGTCGGGCTCACCAGGCAGTCGTGGGCTATGGGTCACCAGGGCTGTGGGGCACAGGACGGGGACGGACCTGTAGTGTTCGGCTCAGTTTGTCTCGTGGGTCTGGCTGACCGTATCTCTCCCTCTTTCCCTTGCTCTCCTGTCAGGAGTCTGACCCCACTTAGGAAAGAGAATGGTCCTCTCTCCCTGGACTAGCCGAGCCCCTTCTTTCAGAGGCCACACCAGGAGCGGGATGGGGAGGGTGGGGTGTCAGAAGGTAGTTCCTGGGGCACAGACCCCTGCTGGGTCTGGGCAGAGAACAAGGCAGCTCTCAGAACTGCAGGGGTGAAGGGAGGTGGGTGTTGTCATTCACCCCCATTTTACAGTCGAAGAAACTGAGATGCAGAGAAAGTGACTTGCCCAAGGCTAAGAGGCAGATCACCGTTTGACCACTTCCCATGCCCCTTCTAATGCCTTCCACTATGCTGTCCCCAAACTCCCCCGAGATCCTGCAGTGGGAGTGGCCTGTGGTGGCCCCAGGGCCTGTGACTTCCCAGGCGCACCAGCACACTGGTGTCCTCTTAAGAGAGGAAACGATCCTCTGGGGGCTGAGGTCTGGCCCGACCCTGGGAAGTCATGGAAGCCCCCCGTGCCTGTCACCTCCAAACAAGTGCCCCTGACCTGCCCTGGAGAACGACCAGGTGTCCTGTTCCTCCCGAGCTTGGCTAACCAGGTACTGGATCTGGAGGGCCAGGAGCGAGCGGGCACCGTGCCCGGGGAACGCGCTCTGGCCGGTTGCTCTCGCGGCCCAGCCATCCTCCCCTGACGGGTGGCCGGCCTGCAGCACCTCCTTCGGTACCTGGGGGACCGGTGGCGGATGGCCACCCTACGCCCTGCAGCAAACAGCTGTATGGCCTTGAGGGCTAGGGCGAGGCGCTCACGAGGGCTCTGGGAGAAGCAGACTCCTCGGCCTGCTCCTGTCTCAGAAACTGCACGGAGGGACAGTCTCTGCTCTGCTGCCCTGGGGTCCCCTGGCTGCCCCCCTCCCCCACACAGATGAGCACATTCACCAGTAAGCGAGGTTTACTTACCTGCAGTGAACTATTTCACACGGATACACCGCATCTCTGGTTACACACATGCCGCCCCCTCCACCGACCTCCAGAAGTGCCCCCAACCACACACTGCATAGCCACCACTGGCCTGGGGCTTCTCCAGAGCTCCGTGAGACGTCTGTCACCCCATTTCAGACAGTAACCCTGAGGCTCGCTGAGGACAGAGGGTCCAGGCTCTGGCCCCCCACCCAGAGCACCGCTCCTGTGGGCAAAGGGGCGGGTGTTTGCTGCTCCCACAGAAAGCACACAGCCACTCCCTGCGTCGGGTATGAACCAGGAGGTTTATTTACACAGTAAAAGTAACAAGCAAATTCCTGAGACTAGAGCGGCCCTAGGGCGAGAGTCCTGGCGGGCCCACGTCGGCTGTCCGCGGCGTCGCGGCCCAGGTGCAGCGGGGCCCCGGCAGGTGGCTGGCCAGGCTCCACGCGCTCCGGACACCACCCGCCCTTCTGCCCTCATCACGACCAGCCTGAGGGCCGGGTCATCTGGGGCCCCACAGCACCTCCCGACACACAGGAAACACAACTCTTCTGCCCGAAGAAAGACTACGCTAGCAGGGAGCTACCCTACCTCGGCTACAACGCCTTGATGCCGGCTGGGGTGGAAAGAGGCAGGGTTTTCCTGACCCCGTGTGCACGCTGTCCTCGCCCAAGACAGCCTTCCCGAGGTGGCTCACGTGGGGCTGTCACCGCCCACGGCCACCGCAGCCCCGCACTGCGCTGACTGGGATCTCCTCGCCGGCAGCCGGCCCTGGAAATCCGCACCCGCCTCCCACTAGGAGACCCGTGTGGAAATCTGGGTTTGTTTTCTTTTTAATGTAGATTTTTCCTTTATTTAAATTTTCTTTCAGCATACAAATTCACAGAACTTTCCAGCTACAAAAACTTTGTTGAAAAGTAAGGCTTTCTGAGAATGAAAATCCGCATGTGTAGTCAGCACACCGCCCCCCCGCGCCAACCCCGTGGGCTCGGGGCCACCGTAAGGCAGAAGGGTCTGCAGTCCTGTAAACTGTGGGCACCCCACCGGCCGGGCCCAGCTCTTTGGGGTGAGTATGGGGGCTGGCTGTGTGCGTGGGGAAACCCTCCTCCCACCCGGGCAGCTGGAGGGCCCCACACACCGCCCTCAAGGCTGCGAGCCTCCTAGTGGGCCCTTAGAGGCAGGAGCTCGGGGCATCGGCTCTGGAAGGTGATGCCCTGACAAAAGTGGGGCTCCTGCACCGTCTCCTCCACGGGACCCCCTGCTGGGGGCCACAGCCCTGGGGGGAGCCCCTCGGCGCCCAGAGGCCCAAGCCCGCGGACAGGCCCTCTGGGCAGTGCGGCGGCACTTTGCAGACAGGGTGTCCTCCCATCAAAACAAGGAAACCACCCAAGGCCCTTAGTGTCTCTGAGCAGGACATGCCCTCTCTCCCCGGTTACTGCTGTGGGCTAGAAGCTTTGGGGAGCAGGGAGAATCAAGAGGGGCTGAGTGCTGGAAAGGCCACAATCCTGCCTTGGGCCTAGAAGGGCTCTGGATCTGGGGGAGCTGACTACGGATGGAGCTGGGGGAGGTGGGGGGACGAGGCTGAGATCCCGCACACTGTAATGCTCGTCCTTCTTGCCACCAGGTCCAAGACGAGGGAGCGAGATGGCAGGCAGGCAGGTCTGAGGGCCGTCACCTGCACCCTGGGCCCTGCGACCCTCCACCCCCGTGCCACCCCTCCCAGCCCTGAGGAAAGGCCACCCTGGTGGCACCAGATGGCTGTGGTGGCAATGCCCAGCCAGGCCTCCCTCCTCGCTGAGGGGTGGACCAGGAGATGTGGAAGGACTGCTGCAGAGGCTGTGGTTCCTGCGCCCCCTCCGGGTACAGGCTGGTCCCATTACATCCTCAGGGCCTCCCGAGGGCAGGAGGGCCAGCAGATTCTCTCAGGCCCACCCACCACCGCCCCGCCTCCTCTGGGCCTGCTCTAAGAGCAGCGGGTGACCAGGGAGATGTCCCCGTCCACAGAGCCGCCCGCTCCCTGGTTTGGTTGTCCAGGGACCCACGTGGACGTGCCTCAGTGGGAGCCCTGTCCTCCTGCTGGAGGCCACAGCACCCAGAGGTGGAGCTGGTACTGCCCCGGGACCCGCCCAGTGCCTGCCCCGGCCCCAGCCCACGGTTTTCAACACAACCTTTGAGCCACTGAACTGGGGGCTGATTTTAAGAGAAAACTGAGCCACCACCCTCCTGATGGAGTAAAAAGCAGCGACTGAAGTGGTTTCCTCAACAGGGTCTTCTTTAGAAGAAAGAAGGTGAGGACGTGTGTCCTTGGCCTGCGGGATCGGGGAGCTCGCCGTCAGCGGGAGCGAGCAGAAGCAAAGGGACTCCAGGAGGGCCCAGATCACGTGCCGGCGACCTCCAGAGGCGCACCAGTTATTTTTAGCCTCGTGGGAAAGTGAGCCACGTTCGTCAGCTAGTCCAGCTGCTACTGTCTGCGGGCAGAAATGCCAAGTTTGCCAAAAGCCAGGTTCCCGGAGGGCAGGGCCATGTGAGTGTCTGCAGGCCAGGCTGCGGAGGGCCCTGGGGTCTGCGGGGGGTGCTGGGCCGCAGCGGGGAAGCAGCACTTAGAAAATCTCTGCTCCCCGCAGTGATAAAGGGGGGCTTGTCTTGAGTTGGGGGGTACACCTTAATTAAGCCCAAAAACAAAGGAGAATATGGTTGGAATACTGGGGGGGGGGAATAGACAGAGGCCACCCCATCCTCGGTCCCTCAAAGGCTTCTCCGCAGACCCCTTCAGCCCTGAGATGGGCAGAGCCTCTGAGGGCTTTTCAAGAGGGCACCCTGGATTGACTGGGCTGGTGCCTGGTTAGCCACGGAGAATGGCCACCATCACCAACCCTGCCAAAGCGACCCCTAGCAGGAGCAGGGAGACAGCCTGCCTCTGGCCACCGGCCCTCTAGCAGGAACAGGGAGACAGCCTGCCTCCGGCCACAGAGCCATGGGTCAGGGTCTCATGCCATGGCCATGTGCCACCCAGAAGGAGCTGGCAAGTGGGCCTGTCTTTCTGGCGAACAGATGCACCAAATTTCCCCCCAAGGTGGACAGCCTCTAACAAGCCCCCCAGGTTGCTCCCCAGCCTCAGCAGGATGGGCCCCTGGCACCCAGGAACTTTGCCTCCCACCCTTGGAATTAAGGCTAAATGGTTCTGGTGTTACTACAGAAGGAAGCGTCTCCCGAAGCGCCCCGAGCTGAAGCAGGAGACGTGGGAGAGAAGGCACAGAACAAAAGGCAGCGAGAGAAGCCGTGGCCGACTCCCCCGACAGAACCCGAACAGAGGCTGAGCAGCCCCGGACACAGCCAGGCGACACTGGCCCCAGCCCTGGGCCAGGCCAGAAACACCACGAAGGCCAGCGCAGGGCACTGGGGTGCTCGTGCTCAACGTCCCGTGAGAAGAAGGGGCTAAAAAGACCCGACCCCAGAAGCTGCTCTGTCGGCTACAGTAGTTGCATGGACACGAGTCCATGGTGAGAGGCTGGTACATTCCATGGTGTCTGGGCCAGGTCAGCACGGTGGCGGGGATTGGTCAGCACTCACGGAGGCAGGAGGCTGACTCCTCTCGGCCTGACACCTTTCAGGGAAACTCCTGTCGGGCCCAGGAGTGAGGCTCCCTGCCCCCTGAGCATCCACCTGGTACCCAGAGGGAAGCTGTGGATCCCAAAGCGTCCCCCGCCCGGCCAGGGTCCATGGCCCTAGTTGTTCTCTATCTGCTCAATGTCCAACTCGCCGTCCAGGGAGCAGAGGCCGCTCCCCGCCGCCCCGCAGTCCCGCCAGGCCGAGGCCGGCTCCTCCTTCCGGCTGTGGTCCTCGTCCAGGGCACAGCCACCCGCATCCTCGAAGGACACTTCCCCTTTGCTGGCAAGATGCTCATCGAAGGAATGGGGCAGCGGCTCGAGGACCGGGGTCCCAGCCGGGGTCCTGCCCCCGGTGCTGGCGGAGGAGGCTGAGAGCAAGGTGGTCCAGGAGTGGGTGCTGCTGGCGTGGAGGACAAAGGGGCTTGAGGGGCCGTAGTCCTCCATCCCGGCGCTCAGGCAGCTGAGGCTGCTGAAGGTCTGACAGTTCTGTGGAAGAAGAAGACATACAGGCTGCTGAGAGAGGGCCACTCTCCTTCCAGAACCCGAGGACCGCACACCCCACAGAGCCAGGCCACCACCCAAACAATGGCCTCCACCACCATCTGGGCCACGGTCCGCCAGCAACTCCCTCATGGAGAAATACCCCTGGCCAAAACCAAAAAAAATCCCCGTTGCTGTCAAGTCAATTCTGACTGATAGTGACCCTATAGGACAGAGGGTTTCCAAGGAGCGACTAGTGGATTCCAACTGCCGACCTTTTGGTTAGCAGCCGAGCTCTTAAACACTGCGCCACCAGGGCTCCACACCCAGCCAAGGAACACACAAACCTCTGTGCTGATAAAGACGTGAGAAATTCACTTATTCACCTACGAAAACTGGCAAAGAGCAAAAAACCCGTAAAACCCAGTTTAGGTTTTCATTTTGGTATGTGTCAGAGGCTGCAACGAAACAAACATGCTCAGAAAATGTGGTGATCACCTTTCTAAATGGTAATTCGCAAAAATGTATCCTTTGATCTGGAAACCGCACTTCCAGGATTTTTATCTTAAAAATGTAGGATGCATGCAAAAAACCAATGGCATGGGGATTCCCAGTCACCCTGTCCAAAGGGAAGGAGGAGAGTAACCCAGATACACTACAATACTAGTTAAACTATGTAATCTAGAAAAGGAGACACCATACAGCTATTAAGGAGCCCCGGTGACACAGTGGTTAAGTGCTCAGCTGCTAATGGAAAGGTCAGTGGTTCGAGCCCACCAGCCACTCTGCTGCGGGAGACATACGTGGCAGTCTGCTTCCATAAAGATTACAGCCTTGGAAACCCTATGGGGCAGTTCTACTCTGTCATATGGGGTCATGATGAGTTGGGATCGACTTCATGGCACCTAATAACAACAAAAACATAAGAGCTACTGCGGAGAACACTAGGGAGGTGGGCAGACCGGGAGGGGACCTCGAGGGGCTGAGTTGATATCCTAAACCCGGCGCACATCAGACCCATCCTGGGGAGCCTGCCCCAGAGGTGCTGGTTCTCTGGGTGGAGTCGGCTGGCAGCACCCTCAGTGGGCACTGCAATAGCAGTGCCACCCTGCAGGTCAATGCCTGGGCCCCAGGCTGGCTCCCACAGAGTGCTCGCTGCCCCAGGCCGCAGCTCCCTTGTCTGGGAGAAGCAGTGATGGTCCCTGCCTGCCTCGCAGGTCCCTTGGGGGCAGCAAAGCTGATTCTCGCCGCCCAGGGCTGGCGGCCTCTGCAGAGGGCCGGCCTGGGGAGAAGGCAGGGGCCTGCCAGTGAGCAGCCGCATGGCGCGAACATGCCGCTGGGACACTCGGTGCCGCCACACACGCCAGTTCCGCTCAGGGAGCTCGTGGACGACGGGGCAGGCCCAGCGAATGCAGTGGAGTCAGTGACAAGCCTGCTGTCCTGCAGAGCACAGAATCCATCCAGCCTTCTCTCTCAGAGCCCCAGCCCCTGCTGGAATGTGGCCCAGCGGCAGGGGGACTGAGGGTGGGACCGCGAGGGGCACTCACACCTCCCCCGGAGACTCCTGGCAGGACCTCAGCCATGGGGTCCTCCCCCAGAGCATGTGCCTGGAGGGCAGGGGTGGGACACCAGGTCTGGTGGGGGTCCTGGGGAGCCCCCGCCGCTTCTCGAATGGCCGGCTCCCGATGTCAAGATCATAGCACTTCCCCCAGGGCCCTGTCCCGCCAATGGCTACTGCTTGCCTGTCACTCTGAAGACGACCACCGGGGACATGTGAGCAAGCCGCTGAGACAGGCTCACACGTGGGAAACACAGGGCACACTCCCTCTGGTGGTAGGGGGCTCACTGCTCCTGAAAACTCTGAGGGAACCTGCTCTGATGGGCCTGCTGTATGTGGCTGGAGGAGCTAGGGAAGGGGAAGGCTGAGGCACTGGGGAGGCAGCACGGGCTGATAAGAGAAGGGCTGGCCCACCAGCTGGGACGGTGACACTGCCTCATGGGATGTCCCTGCTGCTGACCCCACAGCCCCCCCCCCCCGGAGCGCACTGGGCTGTAGGAAGAGTCATGAGGCCTGAGCAGCCCAGTGCACACGCTCCCCCCAACCCCCAGCAGAAGGACAGAGCCGGTGAATCATGACAAATGGCCCCCAAGAACCTCCACAGTCCAAGATCAGGCCGGGAAGGACCAGCAACGCCCACACACAATGCCACACACCTGTGGCAGAAGGGTCCCCAAGGCCCCCCCGCCTCTCCCAGACCTAAGCCAGGACACGGAGACACTGTGGGGGGGGCACAAAAAAGAGGGAGGAGGGCGCAGCCTGGGGCCAAATAAGGGCTGGGACAAGGGCACCCAGGGGCCACTCTGCTGGGCTGTCTGGAATCGGGGTCCTCCATGGGCTGGTTGGTGAATCTCGTCATGAGCAAACCACGGATACCCGTGCATCCCACCCCCCAAATACTCCTCAAAGGCACCTGCTCCTTGGCTGCACAGCCAGCGCCACTGCTGACGGAGACCTTCAGCCACAGCGAGAACAAGGCCCCTCGACAAGTCAGGTGAACAGCGCCCGAGCCCCAGCCTGGCCTGGCCGAGTTATGTCCTTCTTGGCTGTGAGGAAGCACTTCCTCCCCAGATGCGTTCACGAGACACAACTCTCCGAGTATCAGAAAGCACCAAGCCATGAGAAGGGCTTACGGCCTGGAACGTTCCTAAGTCTCATCTGTGCTGGAAGCTGGCACAGAAACCACCTAGATGATGAGGCGTGCGGTTTCCTGCCTTTTTTAACTATCTCAGAAGAGAAAAGAAGGCCGGGCCATGTTTTTGGCCTACTGCATGAAAGCCGCGTTTTCTCACAGGAAGCCGCCAGGCCCTGGCTCCTGGGGCTGGAGAGGTCCTGGTGGCAGGGCTATCTTTCCTCCCAGGCTGCCCTGTGTCAGGGCTGTGGGTCGACTGGCTACCCTGTAGGGCCTGAGGAGGCCCTCAGCACAGCTGGCACGGTCAGCTCCCCACCCCCGCAGCGGTGTGCTGCACAGGACCTGCAGGCCCCCTCCCCTCGGAAGGCTGCGCCCCTCCACCGGGCACCTTATCACCCCAGCCCCACTTCCCAAGCTGGAAGGTCAGCTGCTCAGCCGGGCCATGGTAAAGACCCTCCTTAAAACAGATGGCACCACATGTAGCCTGTTTCTGTGAAACGCTCACCTTTGGACCCAGAAAGAGGCAGCCCTTTTGAGCTGGGCCTGCTCCCTACCCTCAGGTATACGGGAGACCCCAGCCACAAGGCCCAAATGGGGAAGCCAGGCTGCTGAGGCTGGAAAATGGGAAACGGAGTTGCCAGGAGAGCCTCCAGGGCCCAGTGCCCAGCGTGGTTTGGTGCTGGATGCTCGAGGCTCCCCTGATGGAAGATTCTGGGATCAAGCTTTGCCCAGTGGGTCAGTAAAGTCTGAGTGATGGGAGGATGGCCCTGTCAGCTATGGGGATGCTCCTGCCCCCACCCCGTGGCTGGTCCTCAGGTCACCTTGCAGGAGCCAACGATGTCTGCTGAGCACCTGCCACATGCCAGCAGGTCAGGAGCTCAGGCTGGTCAGAGACAGACTCTCGAGGGCCCATCTCTGTCCAAGGTGGGCAGGCCCCATGCCTGCCAGGGGCAGTGCTTAAAAAAAGGATGAAGATTTGCCCCAAATTTCTGAAATCCTCAGCCCGGTCCAGGAGCCACTGCTGTGTGGTCCCCCGCCCCGCCAGCCCGCCTGGGCCATCTCTGCTGTGGTGGTTTTCTGGGGCCCCGTGCTACACAACACCGGCCCTTCCATTGTATTCTCTGTGCAGTGTGGCTCTGTGTGGTAACTCTGTGGCCTGGGGCCCAGCTGAAGAGGGACCATGTGGGAAATGACTTGTGGCCCCCTGCACACCCAGGAGAAGTGAGTCCCTGGGGGAGCCCATGCTCCGGCACAGGCACCCACCAGCCTGGGCCCCTCTGCTGGTGCCCCACAGGCCACCTCGTGGCAGACGTTCCTGCTGTACCAGGCTCGGGTGGCAGATGGCCGGCCTGACACAGACAGCGTGGCAGCCGACGCCAAGGGCCTCCCTCCCAACGCAGAACAAACGTTTTGTTTCTGTGCTGTGTGTTTCAGTCAGCGCACACTCAGGACAGGACTTGGGGAACCACCTTGCTCTCATCTTGGCGTGAAGAGAATTCTTCGCCTAACAACAGTCCAGGGACCTTTCCAAATCACACAGGGCTCTGGCGGGGCGCCAGGCTCACAGGCAGCCGCGGCCGCAGTCCTGGACAAGGCAGGCCAGGGTGCGCCCAGCGTGTCTGTGTCGGGGTGGCCTCTGCATAGAACTGAGGTGCAGAGGTGGGCCCAGGGCCGGCAGAGGGCATTGCACGCACTGGTTCCGTTCCGCTGCCCGGGAAAGGGGTGCCCAGGGGCCCCATCAGGGCCCAGGGAGATGGGGCTGCAGAGCACTGGGCCCTCTCAGCTACCCCAGCAGCTCCTGCCCCTGCTCCAGATGTGGGCTTCCACAGAGGGCGCACTGGGGGGAAGGGATCCCTTCTGGAAAAGAAAGCAAATGGCTGAGAGGTTTTACAGCCTCATTTTACAGATGGGGAGACTAAGGCTGAGGGAGGGGAGGGACTTGCCCCAAATTGCACAGCTGACTGATGTGCTCAGGAGAGCATTGGTCCTCGGGGCAGGATGGCGCAGGAGAAAGGGCCAGGCAGGCCTGGGCTGGCATCGAGCTCAGTGGTAACCATGGGGGGACCTCGGCAAATCGTTAAACTTCTGAGCCTTGGTTTCCTCATCTGTCAAGTGAGACTCATGAGAGTCAGAGAGCTGTCTGGTGGATCAAGTGTAAGGAGACCGGTAGGCCCAGGGCAGCGCTGGACAGACGGTGCTCCCTCTGCCTGCCCCCATTCATCCCACTGGGCCCGGGCTCGGGGAAGGTGCCTGGGTTGTCCCTGGACACGGTAATGCACAGAAAGGGGCCCAGGCTCAGCTTTTGGCACAGGACCT